ATTACTCTGAAAAAAAACGCGCTGTTAATGAACACGAAATGCTCTTTGCAAAGAAGCAAACGGCGATAACAGCAACACTTAGCCAATCATAGCCCAAGTGCCCTACTCAGAAGCGTACCGCACTAGAGGCACGAGAGTCGTTTGCCTGGTTAGGGTTAGCTACGTGACATGTCCATACTTGCTTCCTTGAGGAAAGGGCTACCCACTAAAAGGCCCGCCGTCCTTTCTAGTGGGTAGCCCTTTCCTTTCTTCGCATATGACCTATCGTAACATGCTTCAAGCGTTCTTCACAGTTTCTGCAGCATTTTTTTTTACTATTCGAGCACATAACTCACACTTGTGGGACCGCGAAATGTGCTTTCGAGTTGGTGAATCAAGATAATCACAGCGAATGTTTCAGACCGTCGTCAGCTCGGCTGTCAGAAGAGGACTCTCTACCAGATCTTCATTCCGACGAGAAAAACGTCTTCCGCCGCAATGGCAGTTCGACTGGATTCAAACTACTGTAGGTTCTTGATTATAGCGAACGCTTTTCCCCTCAAGTATTTCAGTAAATCAAATTCTGACACGTAGAAAATGAAAACTTATTTTACGGTAACATTACTACAAATAGCTTTCTTCTTACCGAAACGGAACCCGAATTTTTTAGCACCTGAGGCCGTCGTGAAAAAATGGTATTCCATTTCTGTCCGACCCAGTGAAGGTTCCATAATATCGCTAAGGCGTCGTTAGCTCGCGCATTTGACCTCGACAAAAATCCCCACTTCTAGATTCTTGGACGGAGTTTTTGAGCCGATGCTACTAGATCCGGTACACTAATTCAACAACGTCATGCCTAAACATTTCGAGGACCGTGCGATAACGAAGCTGAATGTGATGGGTACGAAGCTCTCGCTTATGCATAAGGCTCGCTGAGTTTTGCAAAAAAGAAACAAAGCCCACTTCAAAGAATGAGCCCGTTTTGAACCCTAACTCCGTTCTTTCACTTACAAGCCAGGCACTTTCATGTTTTGGATTTGGCCAGATATTGCCCGTTGTGAGTCAAGCTACCAAAGGGCAGGTTTTTTACTCGATGCTAAGATTTGGACCCTATATGAAATAAAGGGCAGTCATTGGTGTTATCCCTCAGCCAGCGATTCTTGAATGACTTATCATGGCCTACGGACTTTACGCGCGACCTTTTTTGACAGTGCCATAGGTCGCAGCTTATCGAGTAAATGGAATGGTAAATCAAAATGATTACAAAAAAGCTCTGCTTAATCCAGAAAATTTTTCCCGGACTAAAAATTCTTCCTTTATGCACAATTTGACTGCTCTACAGAATTGCAAAGCCTTTAGGCAAAAGACGAAAAAAGTCATCTCAAGTCGAAAAAGTGAAGGCTTTTAGGCTGCCCACATCGTTGGTGGATCTGATGTCCGACGTGCAATGAGTGACCGATTGTTTTCCAAACACAGCTTTACCTTTTCTACTTCCCGTTTTGACGTTATACTGCAGTAGCTCGGGATGCTGTGGCTCTGTCGTCACGGGACCATCTCAATATTTCATGCTGGGTTTTCTTTATTTTTGTTAATGTAGAACATTAAAGTCATTGTTAATGATTCGAATCTATGGGTCGAATAGTTAGTATTGTCCTTCATAGACGTTCTATAATTCAGAGATAATAAAATATTGTAACATCTGTCCACTGCTGTTACCTTTCAACTATTCACTTATGCTCAGCTTTGAGACGAAGTATGCAACACAGCTTGATCATTTTCCGGAAAGGAAATCCTTATGTAATCCTTCAAAGGAACTCCTTGCTATACTGTGGCTCCCTTTCTGCAAGGAGAGTTCTGATATAACCAGCAAAAGTTCACCAGCTGGATTGAACCTAACCATGCGAACTGTCTTTGGGTCAGTGTTTGGCTTAGTGAAACCGGTCCTGCTTTCACTGCTTGGCGATTAACCGTATTGTCTTCCGTGAGAGAATTAAAGGCAAGCTTCGGGATAGAAATGGGTGTGAAAAAAGGATTCAGTCATGAACTAGAGGTGAGAGGTGGTCAGAAAAAGACAAGAAAGCAAAGGAAACCACCCGATTACACCCAAATAGGAACCTCCTCACTTTCAGCAGTAATCCACCTTGGGAAAGAGAAAGATTTGGACGAGTTCACAAACCTAGCTTCAGTTACTCCAGTGCCAATGACACTGCACGCAATGCAATCGCTGCCTCAAGGGCGCCCCGGGTACCCCCCAGGAGGCCCGTCGCGCGGCAAGAAGGCAGAGTCGGCGGACGAGTTGCAGCGCGTGATGTGCGATGTAGGACGTGCAATGGGACACTCTATTTAACTTGACGCGAAATCCCTATAGTACGCGCGCGACTCGTCCGCTGACTTTGCCTTCTTGCCGCGCGACGGGCCTCCTGGGGTACCTGGCACCCGCGC